AATCTATGAAATCTGTGAAAAGACAGTGTCTGCTAACTTAGCTAAGCCTAGAAGGACTGGGTAACTTGAAATCCTGAGTCAGTAGAGGCCTGCTGAATGCTGCTTGGAGGAAATACTGAGAAGGCTGTGTTTGAGAGAGTTCCTGGACTGAGAAGGCCAGGGATGAAGGTCTGTCCTCAAGAAGGGCTTTGGAGACCCAGATATTGGAAGGTAGAGAGTGTGCAAGCTAGGCAGAACAGGTTAATGCACCTATAAAGGAGAGATGATAGCCTGGGAAGGCCAGAGCTGGAATCACAGCCCTAAGAAGGGCTGTGAAACCTTAAATAAAAAGGGTAGTGAGTCAATCTGACGTGTACTCCAGGAGAAAGAGAATATTGTTTAAATGCTTGAGCATGAAGAGATTATTCCAAGATCTGAGAGGAGAACTAACTGGTAAGGTAAAAGATCATCCAAGAACATGGGTGGGATGGCATCTTAAGGCAATAACCCAATATAGAGGGCTTCTCTGTATATGAGCCCTCATTTTTAATGAAGTATTTGATTTTGAAGAATAAGGTATTACTATTTATTTTAAATAATTATAATGTGGGTTTCAGTGGCCTAAGGTTTGTCAATGTTTTTTTGCAAGCAACAGTGTGTTTTTTATAAGGCAAAGGAGAGATTTAAGGAGGAATTTGAAGGAGCATAATGAAGTAGTTCTGTGGCTGTTCATAAGAAGCTCCCCTTCTAGTCAACATGGAAGAAAGCATTTTGGAAACTGAACATGTGGCCAATTAAAGCTGGCATCCTGCTAGTTGGATGCAGGGATTGACCTCTTGTTATTGAATAAGAGATGATAGATAGGATGTAACACGGTTGCCTGTCCTTTAAGGCGCAACAGTCAACCCTGTTAAGAAAGCTTAACTGTGGGCCATTTGGGCAAACAGGAAGTGTCCCATTGGGAACTTTTAAAACTCCCAGAAGAGTTAGCAAAAGGACGGAGGAAGCAAGCTGTGAAGAAAATTGTTTCCTGCAAGGAGTAGTCAGGCTACTGTCTTGGGGCCAGAGCAAAAAGTGCTCTTTTAGTGTCTGGGACAGGACGGAGGGATTTTGTTTTATTTGTTTGGTTAAAGGCTACACTTTGTTTTGGAGCACTGGCTGAGGAGCAATTCAGGGAGTGAATTCTACAAAAGTCAGCCAGCTAAGGAACCTGCTTACAGGAGGGTATACTCTGCAAGCAGCCTTGAAAATGAAGAAAAGTAAATTATCTTTCTTTTGAAAGAGAGAGAAACATTGAAGGAATGCAAAGCTGGGGTGAGATGGTCAAAGGAACAGAGTGAGGATGATATTTGCAACAGGATTTTGGATATATGAATGAGAAATTAGTGCCTTTGTTAATACCAGATAAAAGAGAGTTGCAGTAATTCAGCTGAGGGATGAGGTGATAAAACTTTAGGTGAATTTTAGCTATATGGATGGGTAGGACAGCCATATATTAAACGTCTTATGCCGAAAGACTTGCAGAGAGACAGTCCTGAAGAATCTTTAAGACTTAGACCCAGTGAGAGAGATCCAAATCGGAGCTAGCACTACAGTTACAGTTCTAAGTAATAGGCAGGATGGTGGTGATCTCAATGGTGATCAAGAGAAGGGGTGGTATGGGAGACAGAACATTTATGAACGCATCCATTTTGAACTTGAGTTGACAACTAAGACATCCATGAAGTGATAGGCTAAAATCTTAGTTAAGACGGAGAGATGTTTGGGGTAGAGAAGTAGGTCTGTGAATTGTCTGTATACAGATGGTGTTTGAATATGTGGTTACTTATGAGATTTCCAGAGATAAGTTAGAGGGAAAAGAGAAGGGGACCATTGACAGAGCCCTTTAGAACCCCTAAAAAAAGTTGTTGGGAAGGATAAGTAGTGTCTGTTAGAGGACACTAGGGAACTATTAGAGAGGTAGGAGGAACATTAGGAGAGGACAGAGTCACAGAAGTGGAGGGAAGACAAAATGCTAAGCCAGCGGTCAACTTTACTGGGGTAGCTGACAAGGTGGATAAGGATGGAGTATAGATTCTGAGATTTGGTTGGAAAGAGAGAAAAAAGGTACCAGTTTGCTTTACCGATGCATACCAGGTGTATATAAAACCTGACCAAGGCTAGGGCCTTGGATGCATGTTACTTTAGTTGTGCCATATATGCACCCTCATAGTGCTACAGTAAGCAAGTGGGTATATATGCAGACTGTTTATAGTTCTACAAAGATGGCAGATCTGCTACAAGTAGAAAGGCACTTTTTTGAAACTGGAACTTCTTTGTAGTACCGTACTACCTTTTGGAGCACTACATGTAATGTGTGGACAGTTGTATATAGTGCTATGGGGGTCTCTCTGACTCCTAGTATCTTAGAGCAGCGTTTCTTAACCCGTGGTTACGACCCAAAAGTGGGTCGCAAGAATATGTGAAAGGGTCGCAAACAGACTTTAAAAATGGATCAACAAAGTAAAAAAATGGATTCATCTTTAAAGGAGAAAAATGTGGGAAACTGTGGCTTTTCCCTTGCAGGCTGTCGGAGTTCCAGCCTGCAAGGGGCTGCTTGGGAGTCCCCCTGCCCCACACACCCGCCCCCTGCCCCCCACCCCCAATGGGGGGCTGCAGCCTGTGGGGGGCGGGGGGAGGCAGCAGGTCGGAATGAGGGGCACTGGGTTGGGACTCGCCATTGCTGTTTACAAATGGGTTCTGGTACAAAAAGGAGAACCACTGACCTAGAGTGCTCCACTCTCTTCTTCTCTCCAGGGGAGAGGAGAGTGACTGGCTCCCTAACACGAATGGGGAACAGAGTTGCTTCTTCCCTGCTTCTTTTCAGCAGCAGCAGTGACAGCTGAACTAACAGGCAAAAGCTAACAGGCTAACACCTAAGCAGCTCTTGTTCCTATGAGTGCCTTTCAGGCAGCACAGTCAACTGTTCCTGCTTTCTTTTGGGGTCACTGATAGGTTCCCCTGGGAGTCCCCCTGACTGGAGAATGGGCCTTTGAAGCCATCAGATTTGGGGCCAGGGCAGATTGTCAAGGACCTTTGAGTTTTTTTTTCTGTTCTCGATAACCAGGTATATGGTTTGCTTCTAAGATCACGTGGACATACATTTTACCTAACTAATTCCCTGCACTTCCCAAGGTGTTGGTGTGGTAGCACTGTCTTTCCTTCTTTCTTCCTGTTGCACATAGTGTCTTTTGTTTTTATACGGAAGGTTCCAATTTTGGAATGGGGTAGAGCACAGAGTAGTTGTAAACATGTATAGTATTATTGTTGTGGACACATTTTGTTAGCACAGTGATAAATTTTGTTTAATTTGTTATACCATAAATTTACTTAGAGGGCTCTAAGTCAATGGGCTAATTTTTAATACTAAATACAGAACAGTTAGATCTTATCCGTTATGTACATTTTTTTCTAATTATCTTATTCTTCAGCAGTTAGTGACACAAAACTTTTCTTATCTAGGCTTGGAAAGACAACACAGACCCCAGTATGAAAGCAAGAAAGCAAATGAAACCCAGCACTCTGTCAGAAGCAGACACGGGAACATCTTTTTTAAAAAAGGGTCCGCTAAACTTACAAGGCTCACCTACTGATAATTTAAAAATAAAAGGAAGAATAAAGCTCTCAGGAAAGGAATGTGAGCCAATGGTCTTATTACCAGCTGCTCCAGTTGAATCTTTCATGAAATATTCTTTACAGATTCCATCTGTAAATAAAGATGATTCGCTAGATGAAGTGCAGATGCTAAGGAACGTCACTAAACGTCTCAATGGGGTAGGAAATTATTTGAATTGAATTATGATGTTTAAATTCAGATTAAAATATTTGCATTTTTATTAGCTCTTTCTTGCTTTAAGAGAGATTTAGTTTTCGTCTCTTAATATGGTTACTAATGAACAAAATATGATTTTTTTTTTTTTTTTTTTTGCAGATTATACATGCAATGGAATATGTGTATCAGAAGAAACCTGAAGTGGAAGAGAAAGAGGAAGCAGATGAGGAAGAGGAAGACTCAGTTGTATGTATAATAATAGCTCCATAAAATAAGAGATTTTTTATTATGCGCTTTGCTTTTAGCATTAATAATTTCACTTAAAATGACAGTATTAACGCTTCTTAACTCGCACATTTATCCTATTGTTACCAATAAAATAAATACATTTACAAATATGAATAAGTGCTCAGTAAAATGAAAGCATATAAATACAGAGGTCATTATAATCATAAATGTTCATTTCCCCAAAGTTCTTGTTTTTTTAAGGAACTGGGGGTTAATCCTGCAAGATGTTAGTCTCTTCAGTTCTCACTAATAGAGTTAATACACATTGGTGGCAATATGTTGATGTCCTGCTGCTGTGTTGCTTTTAAGCAGCTGTGACTATTAAAGATAGCAGTCTATTTTTTCCTGATACATAAACAGCTACAGTACATGCTATTTATTTTTATTGTTTATTTTATTATTTATTCTCTGTCTCGTAAGTTTTTTGTTTTAATAACATTTAGAATTGCATCTAGTAGTATTATGTGCATATATTATTGCTATTACAGTGTTACTGTTGTTATGCTGTACACTTTGTATTTTAAATTTGCACTCTGTTGTGAATTTTTACAAAATTTTTTGAGTTGAAAATTATTTTTGGTGGTGCTTAAATGTACTGTAACAAAGGAATGATACTGATTTGAGTTTCTATTATAAAGTGCATTCTACGGTGAGCCTTCACTTGTAAATCAGTATTAAAAAGGTAAATTTATTTATTTGGGGTTTAAGAACTTTATTAGAATCATAGAGAAGTAGGGCATGAAGGTACCTCCAGAGGTCATCTAGTCCAGTCCCCTCCTTGAGGGAGGATCATATCTATCCAAACCATCCCATACATACCATAATCTAAACTGTGTGTAAAACTACTGTTAACCCTGCCATAACACAGATATAACACCCTAACCTGCCATAAGTAAAGTGGGGGAACCATGACTGCCAATGTCCTGCTTCTGTGAAATGTTGTCAATATTCTTATTCGTACTTTGATTGGCTGACAGACAGCCAATCAGAGTGCGAAGAAGCATTGGGACAGGTGGCAATGCGCCACCATGATGGTGGGGACGCAGGACGGAGCAGGGGGGTCGAAGCCAGGCCCGCCCTGCTCCCTCAAGGTGATGGCAATGGAATGGTGGAATGGGGTTGGGGGGAATCGAGGCCAGCAGCGCTCCTTGCAGGTGGTGAGAATGAAGCGGAGAAGGTGGCGAGGCCACCAGAACTGGCCTCAACCTCCACCCCTGCAGGTGACGGCAGTGGCGGCATGGGGGGGAGTGGGGACGAGATGCTGTGGGGGGGCGAGGTCATCGGCATGGGCCTCGGCCTGCCCCTCCTTGCTTCCATCATCGCCGCCTGCAGGGCTGACCTGGCAGCGGTTGGGGGAAGAGTGCGCCCGACGCTGGGGGTGGGGGAAGGAGTGGGTGCGCTGTGGTGGCAGCGGGGGAAGGTGAGGAGTGGGCCCAGGCCTGATGGTGGAGGGGAGCGGGCCCGACATGGTGGTGTGGGGGAGCAGTGGGCCTGGCCCGCTTTTTTCCCCCAGCTCAGGCCCGGGCCCACTCCTTTCCCCCCCCCCCCCCCTCGCCCCCCCCCCCCCCCCCCCACTTCGGCTTGCTACCACTGTCCTGTTCCCCTGCCACCAGGTTTTTAGACTCATGGGTTGGATGACATGGTTCTGTGGGCGAGGTCTGGTTCATGGGCTGGGAGTTGAGCACTCCTTGACTAGGTGACATTTCCCTTTCAACCCTTGATACTATAAGGGAGGTGGCCAGTACATTTAATCTATGAGATTCAGCATTTTAGGAAAATAAACTCTTTGGGGCTTATACCATTTTGAGCATCCTAGAAAGATATACAACCTGAGCAGGTAAATAACTCTAAGGGCTTAGCATACGGATAGACATGCCTGTACTTGTAATCACCCAATATGGTGGTGCCTTGCTGGTACTCAATATGCTGTCAGCAGTAATATAATGAATTGGGGGGAAATCAGGGCACTGACCCTTTGGGTGAGGAAGCAAAAAGTGAAGAAACTTTACTGCTGCTGCCACAGTAGTAGCACAGCCACTGATGTAGCTTTGTGCACAGCTGTCGTCTGTGGCATTCAAACAGCCAGTTTCACCTCTGTCAGGGTGAGGGCAGTTTTTAAAATTACACATCCTGCTTACTGATAGTGAAACTCCTCTACAGAATTGTTTGGTTGACATATCTGGATCTTAGGGAGGGACCCATCCCTCCAGTGCTTCTGCGTGTTGGACAATGGCCTCAAACCTGGGGCCTTAGCCTGACCATTACAGCTGCTCATCTCAGCCTGCCACCCTTTGGCTGTTTGCCTAGACTGATCCAGGATGGTCTGGAGCCTTTGGCAGGGCCCAACTAACTGCCCACTCTCTGTCACCAGAGTGCCTGGCTGGGGCAAGGTGATCCTCCATTTCCCCCTTAATATAAACCCCTGAACAAGAACAAAGTGTCTGGGCAACAGGGCTTAGCCTGATTCCAAATTGGTTTGCTGTTCCCTCTGCTTTATACTCTGACCTCTGCACTCTGCTCGATCTCCTGACTTCCTGACTCTGCTTTTTCCTAGATGCTGCTCTTGGATTGACCTCCTAGCTTCCTGATCTGGCTTGATTTTGGGTTCTGTTCACTACTTCTGACCTTGGTTAGCATCTTGACCCCTGAGTGGCTGCAAACGTGGCCAGCCACAACCTGGCATGACACTAGGGTGGTGTTTGTGGGGTGGAAAGGCTCTTGGCCCTTCATTGGAAATCTTGCTCAGACTGGCTGCTTTCCACTGGATGATGTGGGCCAACATGTTTGTCCAGCATTTACTGGGATTCTGTGATAGTCTCCCAGACATAAATCCAATCTAGCTTCACATAGAAAGTGAATGTATTGGGAATGTCACTGAAGATCTTTTTTTATCTCTAGTGTTATAATTCTGCTGCAAATTCTTGGCTCTGGCAAAGCACTGTGCTGCTGTCATGGAAGTATGCTTTCTTCTGCATTTGCTGTGATAAATATTCATAAATCTTTACATTTTGGTGATTCCTTGGGAAGTTGGGGTCCAGACAGGACTAGGAGCAATGGCCTCAAACTACAGCAGAAGAAATTTAAGTTGGAGATAAGGGAGAGTCACCTTTCTGACAATGGGGGTGGTCAAGCATTGTAACAGGCTACCTAGATAAGCGCAGTATCACATCCAGATGAGTCTAATTGTGAGAAGACTGCTTGTAGCAGTATAAGATTATAGGTTCATAGGAAAGTAGGGCCTTGTGAAGGAAGGGACTTTGTGAGTCAGGATCATCCCTGACTAAAACATCCCAGTCAAGTGTCTGTCTAACTTGCTCTAGGAAATTTCCAGGGATGGAGATTCCACAACTTATCTAGGTAGCCTGTTCCAGTGCTTGGCCACCCCTATTGTTAGAAAGGTGACACCCTGTCATCTCCAACCTAAATTTCCTCTGTTGCAGCTTGAGGCCATTGGTTCTAGTCCTGTCCCTTGTGGCCATAGAGAAAAGCCCATCTTCATCCTCTCTATAATCACCCTTAAGGTATTTGAAGACTGTTATCTAATCCTGCCTCAGTCTTCTGTTCTACAGGCTAAATAACCCTCGTTCTTTCAGCTTTTTTTCATAAGTCATGCTTCCTATGCTTCTAAACATGTTCGTCATTCTCAGCTGGACCCTTTCCAGTCTGACTGTGTCCTTCTTGAAGTGTCAGGACCAAAACTAGATGCAGTACTCCAGGTGAGGCCTCACTAGTGCCTAATAGAGTGGAAAAATCACTTCCTTTGATTTGCAAGTGTCATTCCTGGGAATATACTCCAGTATGCTGTTAGTCTTCATTGCAACAAGAGCATGCTGTTGGTTCACATTCAGTTTATGGTCCACTGTAACCCTTATGCCCTTCTCTGCAGTACTGCAGTGTAGCCAGTCATTCCACTGTCTATATTTGTACATGCAGTTATTTTGTCTGAAGGGCAGGACTTTGTACTTTTTCTTATTGAATTTAATCTGGTAGAAATTCATGTGGACCGTTTTTCCAGTCTGTCCAGGTAATTTTGGATTTTAGGAGGGATAACTTGCTCACCAAATGCAGCCGTAGTTAGGCATGACTAACCCTTGGCAAATCTATGCTGGTTGTTTCAGATTGCCTTACTCTGTGCTTCACAGTAGGTTCCATGAGGACCTGCTCCATCATCTTTCCAGATATTGAGGTCAGACTAACTGGTCTTTCTTCCCTGTTGTAAAAATGTGCACTATATTGGCCTCTTTCTAATCATCTGGGACCTCACCTGACCTTCACAAGTCCTCACTGAGGGAACAGATTGCTAAGAAATTACCTCAGCCAGTTTCTTCAGGACCCTAGGGTGCATCCCATCCAGCCATGTCAACTTGAAAACATCTAGTTTTTTAAAGTAATCCATAACCTGTTCTGCCATTAGTTTCAGCTGTCTGTCTTTTTCCCTGATTTTGTTGCCAGTTGAGCTCATTACCAGGCTATTCCTATTTATGAGGACTGAAATAAATAAGGCATTGCATACTTCAGCCTTCTTTGCTTCATCTGTAACCAGATTGCATTCTGTAGGGGACCTATAGTTTCTTTGCTCTTCCTCTTTCTCTTGATATACTTGTAGAATCCTTTTTTATTATTGGCCAGTATGCATGCAAGAAAGCCAGTCAGTGAAGATGTAAACTGAGGAGTCAGTGGGTGAGAGACAGGTTGGGGTAGGGGGTGGTTAGGGGAATGAATATGGCTGGTACATAGCGGAGAGGTACCTGGGGAGTTGGATGTTAGGCAGGTTATAATGTCTCTATATAATCCAATGTCTATATTTAGTCCATGATTTTTTGTACCCAGGAGGTTGATGAAGTGAAGTTCATATGTTCGTCTATGAAAGGTGTTTTGTAAATTCCCTTTGAGTATTAGAACTGAGAGATTGGAAAGAGAGTGGTTTTCTTGTGAGAAAAGTTCCCCCATAGATAATTGGGTATTCCTGACTTTGATACCAGGCTCTTGCTTCTTTACTACTCATTCCATTGAGGAAGAGCACACACCAACTACAGGTGCTTCTTCAGCCTGATAAAGGATATTTATATCCAAAAGCGTGCAAAGAAGAATTTTTCCAGCTATTTGAATTTGTCTAATAAAAGATATAAGATTTACCCAAAGAACCTGGTCTGCTTAATTAATTTAACCAACATCTTTGTAAATGCTCATTAAGACTCCACATACATTTGTTCCAGGAGACAAATATTCAATCCTATTAAAGAGATGTACGAATGTATTTTAATATCTGCCTTTATTTAAACACACACAGGATTATTATAACTGTTCCATAGTTTCATAGTTTCATAGTTTTAGGGTCGGAAGGGACCTAATAGATCTTCTAGCCCGACCCCCCGCCAGGGCGGGAGAACAACAAAAAACCCTAAAAACAAAAACGGGACTCAAATGAGTCCAGCCAGGTAGGCATCCAGCCTCTTCTTAAAGACCCCCAGGGTAGGGGCCAGCACCACCTCCCTTGGAAGTTGGTTCCAGCTCCTAGCCGCCCTAACTGTGAAGTAATTTTTTCGGATGTCCGGATGTCCAATCTGTCCCTCCTCTCCATCAACTTGTGCCCATTACTCCTTGTTATGCCAGCGGGGGCTAGGGGAAACAGCGTCTCCCCCAAACCCTTCTGGTTCCCCCTAGTGAGTTTATAGACGGTCACCAGGTCCCCCCTCAGCCTTCTCTTGTGGAGGCTGAATAGGTTCAGGTCCCGCAGTCTCTCACTGTAGGGTCTGCCCTGTTGTCCCCGGATCATGCGGGGGGCCCTCCTCTGGACCCTCTCCATGTTGTCCACATCCCTCCTGAAATGGGGCGCACAGAACTGGACACAATACTCCAGCTGCGGCCTGACCAGCGTCGCATAGAGGGGGAGGATCACCTCCCTGGCTCTACTCGAGATGCACCTGTGGATGCACGACAAGGTCCGGTTAGCCCTGCCAACCATGACCTCGCATTGTCGGCCCATGTTCATCTTGGAGTCAATAATGACACCAAGATCCCTTTCCGCCTCCGTGCTCTCAAGTAGGGAGTTCCCCATCGTATAAGTGTGCTGCTGGTTCCTACTACCCAAGTGCAGCACCCTGCACCTGTCCGTATTGAAACACATCCTGTTCCTGTTTGCCCACCCCTGTAACCTATCCAGATCCTTCTGCAATCTCTCTCTCCCTGCTAGCGTGCTCACCTCCCCCCAAATTTTGGTGTCATCAGCGAATTTAAACAGGTTGCTTTCCACCCCAACATCAAGATCGCTGATGAAGAAATTGAACAGCGCAGGCCCCAGGACCGAGCCCTGGGGGACTCCACTACCCACCTCCCCCCAAGTCGAGTATGATCCATCCACCACCACCCTCTGAGTGCGACCCTTCAGCCAATCTGCAATCCATCTGACTGTGTAGGCATCTATGCCACAGTCGCCTAGTTTATTAATTAGGATGGGGTGAGAGACGGTGTCAAAGGCCTTGCTGAAGTCCAGAAAGACTACATCCACCGCGACACCTGCGTCCATGGCCTTTGTGACCTGATCATAAAAGGCAATCAGGTTGGTCTGACATGATCTCCCCCTAATAAATCCATGCTGATTGCCCCTGAGCATCATTTCTGATGCCGGCCCATCACAAATGTGCTCCTTGATGATCTTCTCAAAGAGCTTCCCCAGGATTGAGGTAAGACTGACGGGCCTATAATTGCCCGGGTCCTCCCTTTTCCCTTTTTTGAAGATGGGGACCACATTAGCTACCTTCCAATCGTCTGGCACCTGGCCCAAGCACCACGATCGCTCGTAGAGCCGTGCCAGGGGCCCTGCAATAACCCCAGCCAGCTCCCTCAGCACCCTGGGGTGGAGAGCATCCGGACCCGCTGACTTGAACGCGTCCAGCCCCTCCAGAAGCTCTCTAACCCGGTCCTCCCCAACCTGAGGTCTGAAGGCGATCCCCTCGCGTCCGGCTTCTATCACAGCAGGGAAGTCCCGGTCCCTGCACAAGAAAACGGAGGTGAAGAATTGGTTAAAGAGGTCCGCTTTATCCTCTGACGCAACCACCAGATTGCCCCGCATATCCTGCAGGGGCCCCACATTACCCGGCGCCTTCTTCATCCTCCCAATATATTTGAAAAAGGACTTTTTGTTATCCTTAATCCTGGACGCTAATCCGAGCTCTATCTCCGCCTTGGCCTTCCTAACAGCCCGCCTGCAGGCCCGAGCAGAGGAGGTATACTCCTCTTTGGAGATTACACCCCCCTTCCACCGGGCGTACGCCACCCTTTTGGCAAGCAGGCATTCCCGGACACCCTTGGTGAGCCAGGGGGGCTTTTGGACACTCCTGCCCGCCTTGCTTCTTGTCGGGATGGACACCCCTTGGGCCCCGAGTATCGTTTCCTTAAGGAACGACCACTCCTCTTGGACGCTGAGTTCCTCTGCCCTCAAGGACCCCAGTTCCTCTCCCACTAATCTCCTCATCTCACTGAAGTTGGCCCTCCTGAAGTCTAGGGCCACCACCTTGCTGCGGGCCCTTGACACTCTACGCTGGATGGTGAATTCCAGCACGCGATGATCACTATTGCCCAGGTGGTCAAGAACCTGGAGGCCTCTTACCAGGTCGTCGCCTGCGGCCAGGACCAGGTCCAGCAGAGCATCTCCTCTGGTGGGACTGTGCACCTCCTGAATCAAGTGGAGGTCCTGCAACTCGGCCAAGAACCTCCTGGAGCGGTCCGTCCCGGCTGACTGCTCCTCCCAGCAGATGTCCGGGTAATTAAAATCGCCCATGACAACTACATCCCTTGCTTTTAGTGTCTCCGCAAGCTGGCCTGAAAATTCCCTGTCCAGCTCCTCCTCTTGATTGGGGGGTCTGTAATAGACCCCCACCGTCAAATCCCTCTCGCCTTGCCCCCCCTGGATCTTGACCCAGAGCACTTCAGCTTGCCCTTCCCCTGACCCCATTCTGCTGGCAGAGGATGTGTAGTGCTCCTTGACATAGAGTGCCACCCCCCCCCTTTCCTGCCTTCTCTATCCCGCCTGTACAGCCTATAGCCCCTAATGAGTTCCAATGAATTTATTTTAAAAAGTTTAAATAGGAGTCTTTTATAATAAAGTCTCATGTAGTCATGAAGAAAACTCAAACAAAATATTGCTTTAGCAAGTGAAATGGTAAGCAGTGAAGTGCATTGCAGTAAAGCTATGCTAAATATTATAATGGTGAAAAAATGTGATTAAAATATTTATATTCTAATAATCTAAATAAAAACAGCTTTAAAATAAAATGACTTTTCAAACACACAAATCTATAGCTAAATTGGTTTATTTAATCAAATAAATATGTATTCATAGTTTACATTTTAAGGCAAATTATCTGAGTTCATAGGGTTTCAATAGAATATGGATGGATTGTATAAAAACATTTTCTTTTCTCTAAAAGGAAGGTCATGAGGACATGACTACATCGCTACTAGGTTTTTCGTCAATTGCAAAACAGTTAGAAACAACACTTCAGGAACAGAAAGAAGTATGTAATATTAAGATTATACATGAAAGTATAGATTTAATTTTTAAACTTGAACTTGCTTTTACTAAATTTTTATTGGCTTTTTTTGGAGAAATGTTTGAAACGTTGGCTTATTCGCACAATTCTCAATTTTGCAATCTTGGAATTGCCATTGTAATTGCACTGAATCTGGTCATTTAGCATGTGAATACATAAGACTGTGCGGTTCTGTTCCTTTCTTGTTGCCATAAGCTGAAGTTCCAAAGCCATACTTTGGACAGCTACAGTTAATATTTGTTTGGTTCTTTTGGCTAGTTGACAGAGGGTGAGGTTTAGATTGCTGTACCTGGTCTGTGAATATTGGATATTTACTGTTCAATAGCAGATCTAGGATTTTGAAAAGGGGTATGTGGTCAGATAAGGCCTTTGGCCTTTGCAGCTGGGCAGAATGAGAAAAGTATTGCTGTCTGCCCACTCAGCTTAGGAAGAGGGGCCAGGCAGTTCAGCTCCAACAGGATCATTAGCTGATTTGGGAGATGCTGTGAGCTATGCACTGGGCTAGTGAAGAGGGGCTGATCAATGTGGCTTTGTCATGATTGGGCCCATAGGGCATCTTTGCACATGGTCTGGGGTGATGGTGGTGGGGGTCTTTTAATTAAAGTGGCTCTTGGGAGCTGCTCTAATTAAAATGCCTGCAGTCTTATGTATTCAGTGTCTCGCGCTTCAAAATGGCAGCGGAGGTGCTTTAACTAAAGCTAGTTAGACGAGCTTTAGTAAAAGCATTCACTTCACCATTTTGAAATGTGGGGACACTAAATAAATGTGACACCGAGGCTGCTGGAGCGTTCTAATTGGAATACTCCAGCAGACTTGATTAATCGAGTCTGTTCTGGTGTGTTTTAATTAGAATGCGTCTGAGGCATTGGGCACGTGTATAGGTGCCCTTAGGGCTCATGGATGGCAGGAATAGAGGAGGACTTGAAGCAGTGTGACTGCTCCTCCCGTTCCTGGGGATCCACTCTTGTGGTTGTTCTCGTAGTCTTTGAGCTCGGTGTGTGGGAGATTTGGGAGCAGAAAGTGAGAAGTGTATGGCCCAAATCAAGGGGAAAGAAAGGTCTGCTTCTGCATCAGGATTTCACTGTGACTGCTGATTATACTACTGGCTTGGGCAGGGAGTCTATATATAATGAGCCTGCCTGCTGGGGAGGTGGGGAGAGAAGTGAAGCACCTCTTAAGGGTATCCTGTGATTGCAGCACAGAATGTTTCGGCAGCTGCTGGTCTTAATGTATTATTGGCACCATGTCATCTTTCTGAATAAAGAGAGTTTTTAAAATAAGTTTTCTGCTTTTTATATTTCATTGTAATAAGATATTTTTTTCCCATTACAAGATAATATGTTATGATGAAGTCCGATTGCCTAAAAAGTTAATTGTATTCAAATAAGTACATTTCTTTAGTTAAATCATCATAAAATTGGTATAATTGTTAGGTGTTTAATTATGTTCTGTGTTATCTTTAGTGATCATCCTTCTGTTTTTCTAGATATTAGAGTCTTTGACTAAGGTAAGAACTTAAATTTTGATTTGCTGTGTAATATTTTATTATTTTAATTCTTTTTTAATTTGAACTTTAATTTGTCAGTGACTGATATGTATTTATATTTTTTTCATGAAGTGGTTTGGAAAGGAAGTCCAGCAGATGGAAGAGGTAATTCTAACATCTACTAACTGTCTCTTTTGGCTTAGCTTTGATTAGCAAGAACTGCAATATATTGTGTCTTAAATACTGGTCTGCACTCTTTCATAAGTAAATATATTAACAATACTGCCTCTGTCACTATGATCAGAGATTTGAGACTTTCCTCTTAAAAAGACACCACAACTTGCTTCTCAGGGAATGCTAATATAAGGATATTTTAGGAAAACATGCTGTGTTGATTGAATTTTGAATAAATTTCCAGGAAAACATTTTAGAACCATTTTTTATTTCTGAAGGCAAGTCTATTTGAAAACTTCTATAGCATATCAGCATTTTGACTTCACTGTGGCTGCATCATCTGATCAACAGTATCTAACAGATGAGAAACGATTGAGAGGATCTTCACTATCATGGCTAATGTGCTATTCTTTTTTGTTCAACATGACCAGACACCAGTTAACTATTTAGTTGAAACATTTGCACTAGGTGAACAGACCTACAAGGTCTGTAGAGTTGAAAAATACCTAGCAATTGTTGTGGATGCTGCTTAAATCTATTTACTGTATTTGTGTAAATCTCTACCATTCTAAATGATGATACTTGTTTTTTCTCTATAGTCAAAATACTTTAAACTAGACCCTGCTAATTTATTGTATTTTAAATTGCTACTCCAGCATTTTCAGTGTCTGCTTCTCTTTTAGTTAGGAAAAGATGAACTTTTTCCAGAACTGCAGCTTCCTGTGGCTGATAAGGACATAACAGATAGCATAATTAAACTAACACAACACATCAGAAGTCTTGAAGAACTAAGAAACCGCATTCACCATCTGCCAAAGTCTGTCCAGCCACCTCTAGCCAAACAGTAAGGGAATTATTAAATATTATTAGGCTTACTAATAATGAATAGTGAAAGACAGAAAAAATGAATATTTGAATATATTCTGTGTTGCATGTGAACATTATTTTTTCCTTGAGTAATTCTCTATATATTCATTATCACTTGTCTCACACCTCTGAGCTTCAGCTAGAGACTTTTTGCCTTTTTAGCAGTGTCTGTAGAGTATACACAAGTTCCTCTTAATTACCTGGGTAGAAAAGGTGGAACCCTTCTCTCAAGTTCCTACCAGCCTTCAAGCCTAGAGAGACATACTAAAGCTTCTAGTCGGGAGTAATTTGTGGCCCCTGGGCTTGTCAGGGAGAGGAAGTGGGGTGCCTTTTTCCTGCTCTTTGTTGTTTCTGCCATGTCCTTCCTGGGATGGCCTGATTTCAACATGCACTAGCCACCCAAGATGCTTTTTATACCTGAAGAAAACTCTCATTCCTGACAACTGCTCAATCAGTGTGCCTTTTAAACTGAGAGCTTGAAAAGACAGGGAGAGCTTTAACTTTGTTAAAGCTTTATAGAGCTTTAACATTGTCTTCTTGGCAGATATGTCATCTCTATATCCAGTCTATGGTTGAGAATCTCACTATGGCACCATTCACTTCCTAACATGGGGGAATCAGCACAGAATGTCTTCTCCAGTGCTGGCAAGATGGGCTCTAACCGTTGGTCCTGGTTCAGATCCAATTCCACCCAGGAATGGACCCTTAGAAAGGTCTTTATGGGGGAGATCAGACTCCTGAGACCTCTTGACCCACACAAATGATGGATGAGGTTTATGGGTAATTGGGAGCTTTGACCATAGTGCCAATATCAGGCCCCAGTATTTCTTGCCCATAAGCAATTTCTGTGGAAGCCCAGAGAAGGTTAGAACATGTCATACTATAACTATCTGGTTCCAAGTCCATGGTTCAGAATATGAAGGGAAGAAGGAGCATTCCCTTGATGAGTTAGTCAGAGGACATGACTTCTTGATACCCTATCCTGCCAGAGGGCCTGTGACATTACCCCGGTTGTCAGTTCTGGAGCCAGAGTGCCCAATCAGCTGACTGTACAGCACCATTCTCCACATCACATCAAAACTGCTCACAGTTAACAACACTTACTTCTGTAGATCTTTCAGTACTGAAGTGCGGCCTGGAAACAGACCTGATGGTAAAGACTGTGATGGCTGATTTGCTGTCCTTTTCTGTTGAACAACACAGTGCTTAGCACCATCCTTTCAGATGGGCTTCTGTACAGTCCTGATCACTTTGTATATTCCTCATCAAACTGCCAGCAGGTGGGGTTAATTCTGTGTATTTTTTGGGATACTGTTTTATTATTTTATTTGTTTTTATTGTAAGATGCTCTGAGGTTTCTGGGGAGAGTGGCATATAAATCAAATGAACAAACACTGTATTTTCTTGCATAAAATGCACACATTTTTCCTTGCACCATCTGTGGGAAGTACAGATATGCATAATATCTGAGAAAAACAGATCGCTAGAGGTCTGGAGATTTGGCAGCAGGGGAGCAGTGACAGCATTAATTGCTGTGGCTCCCAGAGTGGCTCAGTGAGTCACTGCTTTCCCACTAGCAAATTCTGGGCCCCTGGGGAGCCCCCTGGTTGGGTAACATGGCACCATGCACCAGACTGGGCTAGTGTGCGGGGTTGGTGTGTGGTTGAATTTGCTGCATGGCCCTACTCTAGTGTACCCCACTGTGAAGTCTGAGCCCTAGAGAACCTAAACCTGTACTCCAAGGTAAGATCTTTTTTTCCTCCTTAGGGCCATCCAAAAAAAGGGCATGCCATCAAGAGCATGCTGTATATGAGAAAATATGGTAAATATCCTTTTCAAGTACTAGATCACCATTCTAACAGTGCCCACTTGATGTGTAGACATTCATCCAGAAACTGATGGTATGCAGACAGGCTTACAGACCCCATTGTTTCAAGGAAATGGCCTACAGGGTATCTGACAATGCCAAGCTGGTCAGTTCCTCACATAGGAAGTGTTGCCGATTCACAATGGGAAGACTACTACCAATACCATTTAGCCTTTCCGTAGCTCTATGAGTCCTCAGCTGGGTCCTCTTGATAGTTGCAGTCTATCTCTAGGGATAGGGAAAGCAGGTTATTTGTACTTTGATGGCTAGTTGCTAAGAGGTTCTTTGGCTGCTCAAGTATCAAGCAACCTATGAAAGACAATGAGCCTATTATAATCTCTGGGGCTTCTCATCAGTCACCAGAAATCAAGTTTGGATCCAGCTTAGAATATTTTGTTCATAGAAGCCTACTTAGATTCAATGTCAGCAAAAGCTTGCCTCCCATAGGAGGAATACCAGACTTGAGCTAAGGTTTCTTCTGGATCTGGCTGTGTATGATTTACCCTCTAGGAGGTGATTCATTTAAATATATAGTCACAGAACCTAAGCTGGTGCTTGTCTCCATAATTTGGCAGAAGGATCTAAGCAATGCATGCAGTGTTATGCCATCCAGTGTCACTTCAGTAACAGATACCTCACTGATGGGCTGGTGAGTTTATTTGGGAGAACTCCAAATACAGGTTCTCTGGTTACTGGAAGCAGTGACGTTTCATATCAGTTGGTTAAGCTCAGAGAGGAGCTGAGAGCTCTCATGGTCTTACTTCTGTTGAATTTGAGGCTGTCAGGTCTAGGTCATAATAGGCGACTTATGCCAGATCTCTCTCCCTGTGTTGAGATTCTGCCAACCTATGGCAGTGGTACATCAGCAACCAAATCCACAGCGTGTAGAACATCTACTCAGTCTCTAAATGGCAAACCATTTATAAGTCTAGCTCCTTGCATTGTAAAGGGGACTCAGCACTCAGTGTTGTGTTTGTAGAATGGGACCATCTGACCATAAGCAAGTGCAGCCAGGGAATACCACTTTTGCTTCTATGGTTTCAGCCGTGGTTCTCCCTTGGGTGGATTTAAGACAGAATAATCACAGAGCCTACTATGTGCACTCCCTCACACCACTAATTCCAACAAGTGAAGTAGGAATGGGGCTTACTCATCTTGATAGCCCTGAATGCCTGGGACAATTTTCCATTTCTCTTGGGACCCTGCTCTGCTTCTAGACATTAATATAGGAAGGAGTGAGGGTTCTGCACCCAAATCTCCATTCCTTGTCTCAGTCTAGATTCTGGATGGCTTTCATAGAAAGAGGAAGAATGTTTAGCCCTAGTCAGAGATGTTGTCCACAGCAGGAAGGCTGTGACTAAGTATATGTACCTGGAAAAAGAGGCCAGGTTTTTTTCCTGATGCTGGGTGAAAAATATAAAGTCGATCAATTCTACCATATTAGACGTACGAGATTATTGACTGGATTTGAGTCATGCTGACCTTTCTATCATTTTGGTTAAGATCTACCTGGAAACTATCCTAGCTTTCTACATGCCATGTGTTTTCTTACCCGGAAGCCCTCAGGTCTCTTAAAGTGCTGACCAGGGTCTTTTCTAAGGAAGGGAACAAATTCCAGAATGGTATCTGAATGTAATTCTTACTTGTATAATAATAGCACCATTTGAACCTATGCCAGTGTGTTCCCTGCTCCATCTTCTACTTCTCCCCCCCCTCCCCAGAAGGTTAGTTATTACTGTTTAAAAGACTGTTATATGGGGCTTTTCCTTTTTAAAACAGTGCAACTAAAGAGAAAAAAGGGATGTTTAAAACAAAACCCTTATTTAATAGCTTAAATGTGAAATAGATTTTTTATAGGCTAGCATCAAACATCGCATTTGCCCTTGGATAAGTTTTGCCTGTTTGTCCCAGGATAAAAATAACCTGTAATTGCTGTGTGTACACATCACCTTCTAGTCAGGGCTTGGTGAGTGGCTGAATGCAGTGTCACTTTTTCTACCATTGATTTAATACAGTAATCCAGGGATAACTGTACAGATGTACTTTGCAATATGCTTTGATAAGCTGTTACTACCTCTTATCTGGAAAACTTTTAAGAGTTTCTGGTGCTTGCATTTTGTCCTGGGATAAAATAGTTTATCTTGGGATAATAATGCAATGTTTGTTTGCAGCCTTAGTGATTGTTTGCCAACAATCAGTTCAGTTGCTTAAAGCTGTACTGTGGCAGAGTCATTTTAACATCTTTGACTCTTTGGGTCCATTTATTGCATCCAATGTACTATGGAGAAAGAAGCAAGTAACTTCATGAAAGCAATTTTTAGTGAGCAGATTCATACTGCTGCATTCTACTTGGGGCCAAAGACTTGATTCCTGTGCCTTTGGAACTGCTGGGCATCTTACCTCAGGATAGAATAAACAATACTTTTTGCTTGAGCAGGTTATTACATCTAGAAATCTGTATCAATTTAGGGATTAAAGTAAAATGACCAGAATGTAGTTACCCCTTATGCCTTCAGTTGCATTAATGTTGATTGCTTTTTTTTTTTTTTTAATACTAATACTGTTGCTTGTTCAGCACACTGTTGAATAGTTTCTGGTGATTCATCTTAGAGATCATTATACTTTAAATATTTATATTGTGCAAGCATCCCTTTATAAAATGCTTTAGAATCTCTATGAAAAGTTATAAATTGTGTTTAAAGTTACTGAATTATTAAACCACAGAGATACATGCTTAGAATACAACCACTATTGTAGTTTCATTTATGTTGCTACTTTAATAAGCTGTGCAATTTTATATGCAATTATGTTATTTTTTTTTCTTGTTTTAAAAATATATAATGCTAGTAAGTAATTTCAAGAATGAATACAATTTTGAAGCACACAGAGGTTTCAAAAGATCTTTAACTCTGTTCCCTTGTGTAAATCAGTATTTGGCTTATAGCCCAAAATATATGGAATAAAATAATTTTACATGTGCACATTTTTTGTAATAGGGAAAG